CAAACTCGAACGTTTCGGTCACTTTAAATAGAGCACTGCATGTAAGGCGAAATCCACCGACTAGACTCACTGTTACACTAGCATGCCTCTCTTCTCGCCGAGAGATTAGTAAATACAAAGGGTACCACAGTAACAAAAAAAACTTACGGATCCACTTCACAGAGATCACCTGCGTCTTCGTACTCGGCCGCTTCTTCAACGGCAATCTGCTCGGCAGTCGTGTCCTGCTCAATTGATAGGATATCCTTTAGGGATGAGGCAGTTTCCACACGAGAAAGTGATGAAGTCGTGGAGTCCACAGTGGAATTTTCGGTATCTGTCAGCCAAATATCTTCATCAGGGGTAGAAAGTCGCCCTGTGATAGCGACCTCGTTATCTGCTGCTTCGTTGGGTTTCGTGACAGTCAGCACAGTCGACTCCTCGGCGGAATGTGGAATCGGAACTTTGACGTGTGGTTCGACTAAATGGGCCGTACTGTCATTCAAGTGAAGGTTATGATGCTGCTCAGGGGCACTTAGGTCACTTGGGGGATGATTGTGAGCCGGCCAGATATGGGCCATTGTTTGGTGGGTTACCTGGGTAATCAGGGTGGAAGGGTTCTGGGGAAGTTGGGTTGGTGTGATGGTTAACGTTTGGGTAGGTAGCGGTGGGTGGTTAGACTCCAGATCCGAAAATGTACCATGACCGTCAGGTTTAACGATCAGAATGTGGGGAGTCTCCGTACTGGGCGCTGAAGATTGGCGCATGCTTCTTACCCTCTGCGAAGACACTTTGGTCATTCTAACCCGGCGCTGTAACACCCTTGCCCGATTGTGTGAAGGGATCGGTTTATTCTTACGTCGACACTTTGAACGTATGGGTTTCGTTATCTGATAAGGGAATACGAGAGCATTAGAACAGTCGTTGCGCTAGTCGTTTTACACAAATTTACGAAGAGAAAAAGTAACTTGCCTTTGGTTTTGCGCAAGCAGGCTTTTCGAAACATCCACTTTTGCGAACAGGCAGAGATCCTTGCGTGAAAAACAGGGCTGAAAATTAAAAGCATGCAGTGTGAAAGTTACGTTCAGGAAACATAAACAAGCAAATAAACAACGGCGTCCTAAAATCGTATTGTAACGTTAAAGGGACCTAGAACCTAAGGACAAGGAACGAACTTGAGGTAAAAGGGCTCTCGAAGGAGACGAGTTTAAATCAGGGTCCACTACAATCATATTAATAACCTGCTAAGGTTAAACTATGGCTGGCATTTTTTACAAAGCGTCCGAAATGGGTGCATGCATACGACAGTATCGAAGATTTTGATCAATCAACCATGACATGATTGTGGTGGTCATGTTAATAACAAATGCAAATTATGGCATAAAATAACGCTCAATTATCAAATTCTAACTCGGATCTTCGCCTCCTGCTGCGGCAAAATAAAAAAGTGCGTTGTTGGAAACTACTTCACGACAGGTAATGCTTGCTACTCATTCCTCCCACACTCCAGCGGCCAAACTCGCAATTGCAGACTACTCCGAGGTACCAAGTAATTTCGCTATATCCAAAAGGTAAAAGATAAACGAATGAATCACTTCGCCGGAGGTCGCCAAGCGCTTGCGTCTGACGAACCTACACGAGTCCGAAGAACAGTACCGACAGTGAAAAGGAAGGCTTGAATAGTCATTTCTGGCTTATTGGCCGTCGGTGGCCAGCCATACTCAACTTACTTTTGCTGGATGCGGCTATGATCATGCCTGATCTAGCCGGTCTCAATGACGTCCCCGATTGTACCTCTCCACGCGTAACGATTTGCGGAAGTGGATCTGGAAAGTTCCACCCACCCTCTTCTCCAGCGGCGGAGACCGAAAACCGAAGGTCCAAAAACCGTTTCCATGTCTTTGCGAACGGTGTCGAGCCAAGCCTCGGGTTGCCCTCCTCTTCGACGCCTCCGGGCCTTGTGAAGCTACTGACTTGACTTGAGGGTTAGCCTCAAGGCACTACGGAACGAGTATGTCCCATAACGCCGTCGGTGAGCGCCCCACTACCACTAGAAGAGCCAATTACTTATATAAATGGCAGGTCCATCACAGTATACGGGGATGCTCAGTTTTTAATACAAAAATGATCCAAATTTCAGTCGTAAATAAATATTTCTGTTGGGCATCGGTCTAGTGAAATTATGATGCACCATCGATACGGCAGTTGCACGTAGACTAAAGCTACTTAAACGTCAGCACGATCGCTAAAGGCGTTTCTACCGGCGTTTGTATGCGCTGTCCGGAAGGGAAAACGATAAAGCAATCTTTCTGCATTTAAAAACAAGACACGTTTTATTTTTTTCGGTGGCAAATAAATCGGGCTAACAGCAATGGTCGACGTATAGTAAATTAGCTTTTGATAACTTACTTCCATGCACTGAGTTCACAAGATTTTCGGATGGCCGATCGGGCCATGTCGTACGAGAAAGTGAACGTTTCGGAGATTTCTTCGTCGATGGCAATTCATAAACAGGTGAAAATATTTGTCCAGATATTGCTCGCCGAGACCGCCGGGGCGAAGGTGGAGTAGAAATGCGTTGGGTCGGGGATCCAGAGAAAATTCGCATCTTCTTCGACAGGGGGATCGGTGAGGTCGGGCCTTTTATCACTAAATTTTTAAAATGGGCTATAGGCGACGCAGCACGTGATCAAAGTTCATACGCATTGTAGGTAGCAATGTAACAGCAAATGAGCACCGAAATCTGACAGACAAGTTCATAGACCGCTGTCGACACGCAAGACTCCCAAGACACAAAATGCAGAATTAGACAACCAGAATGGACAAGATATCTGCAACTATGTAAGATCAGCCACGGAGCACATCTGAGAATGAGGATAAATAAACGAGGAATAGAAAAGAATCCAGTTATGCAGAAGCAACAATGAAACGACTATCATTACCGTCTTATTACGTATTAACTCGATTGGGCAAATTAAACAAGCTCGCAAAAAAAGCTTGACAGCTGCTTGGGTGATGTCTTGAAAGGACAGCAGCTCGGACAAGGCAGAAATAAACCGCCTAAAATGAAATCGTGTGCAATCTAATAGATTTGAGTCTGTCTGAATCGGTACCACTACTGCAACGCCAAGCAAGGGGACGATTTCACATCCGGCAGACCCAAATATTCGTGAATACGATACAAAGTAAATAATTACTGAGAACATCTCTAAAGGTTACGAGTACCTAGTGCATT